CATAAGTTGTGATCTACTCAATAGCAATTGACATCATTAAATACAAGAAAATGCACCTACTTTAAGCATGTATGCACCTATGTAAACATTACAACAATCAAGAACCTTCAACCTCCTCCAAAGCCCTGGCTGTGCCTGTTTACAATGAATACTCCCACTGATTTCACCCCCCGGCAACTCCTGATTCGATTTCTATCACTCTATTCGTTTTGCCTGTTCTTGAACTTCATATAAATAGAATCATACAGTATGTCCTTGTTTGTGTCTGGCTTCTTTCTATGCGAGTCATCCATATTATAGCATCTCTCAGTTCATCTAGTTGGCTGCCTGAACCAGTTGCTCCTTTTTATTGTATGCATTGGATAAATGTATCACCATTTATCCAGTCCTTTGTTGATGAATCTTTAAGCTATTTCCAGTTTGGTGGTTACAAACAAGACTCCTATGAATGTTTGATGCAAGTCTTTTCCATGCAAGTGTGTTTTCATTCCTCTTGGGTATAGATCTGGAAGTTGGTTTGCTGGGTCATGGAGTAAGCGCATAGTTAACCTTGTTAGAAGTTGCCAAACTGCTTTCCAAAGGTGTTGTACCATTTTACACTTGGCAGCGTATGAAAGTTCAGTTGCTCCACATCTTTGCCAACAGTTAATATTGCCAATCGATTTCATTTTAGTCATTTCCCTGTACAGGGTTGCATGAGTCAGTATTTACTGGATGGCACACAACAACAACAAAGTAAGTCTGAAGTGATATCTCATTAAGGTTTTAATTTGAATTTTCCTGAATAGATTCAAACACACCAATGGTTATGAAGATTATACATAGGACAGGGCACTGTTTCCAACTGACTCCACTATAACTGACAACAACAAAGACTGATGATGTTGAGCGTTTTCCATACACTTATTGGTCATTTGCATCTTTTCTTTGGTGAACTGTCTATTCAAGTATTCCTTACTTTTTCATCTCCACCTCCCCGCCCTCACTCATCTCCACCTTCAGCATCCTCTTGTTTGCCGGTACTGAAAGAGTCTCTCAACGGGTCTCCCTCACTCCAGCAGCTTCCCTGTGGGGGGGCTGCCAGCCTGCCCCATGCCACAGGGATTCCTAATATAAAGGAGCTTCAAAAATTTTGTGGGAAAATTACATTATCTTTTTTTTTTTTTTCTTGCCAAACCAAAGGTCTCACATATTTATTAGCCAACCTCTTTAAATGCAGAAGCATAAAAATAAAGGAAGAAACCAAAAGTTTTGCAAAACATGTTCAATTGATCAAATCTTGGCAAAATTGAACTTGCTATGGTAGGGTGCTAGGACCTGGGTCTATTATGGGCTGCGTCATCACATGTGCGACTCCTTAGAGATCCAGCTTGATTCTTCTCCAGAGTCTTCTCTTGGAGTTGTAACTGATTTTATTACCAATTTTCATTCACATCCATTGGGGAATGGGGACAATTCTGCTTTTGTTTCTTGGCCAGAAGTCTCTTGATCCTGAACGTCTTATGAGAAGACAGAGTGAAGATGGAGCGTAGCCTCACTCACACGATGGTGAAGAAAAGGAAGAGAAAGTGAAAATTATATGATCTTCTAAGTTAGTTCACTTTTTAAAAGAGCTTTTCGAAGCCCCCTCGTACATGTTGCCTTTCTGTTCTTATTTGGCACTAGGTATATGTCTTCTTATAATGCCATTTAGATGCCAGGGGGGGAAACAGGGCTGGAGAGGGGCTTCTTAGTCCCAGATGGGTTCCTGCCAATCTCTTGTGGTTCATCTGGTAAAAGCAGTGGGATTCCCTCCTTATAAATGTATATGATTCCATACTAACATCAAATGTGCTATTAAAAACTGTACAGATCCCTCCCCTGAAGATTCTAGTATGCTTTAGAGAGAGACTGGTGGGAGGGGTGGACAGGGAGGGCAAGGCCCCTCCCTTTCTCGGTTTTAAGAATTCTGATGTGGACAAAAGGTCATTAGATCTGGAGATGTCCTGGGTTTGAGTTCCAATTGGGCAGAGCAGGTCATCTCTGGTCCATTGAGAAAATGAGATGATGTCATCCTCACAGGAAGTGGAACATACATGAAACCTTACAAGTGAGTGAAAGTCAATGGCAAACCAAGGAGCCAGACAAGTGTAAGTGTGTGTGTGTGTGTGTGTGTGTGTGTGTGTGTGTGTGTGTAAGAGAGAGAGAGAGACAGACAGACAGACACAGAGAGAATGTGATAATGATCTGTTAGACTGTAAGCCCAGAGAAATCTTTTATAGTGAAAACTGTGAGAACAGGAACACAACTTGACGGCCTTGTTTTTCTGGGTCTTATAAGTTTTTCACCTTTGACAGCATGTTCTCTATGGTTGTTGTTGGTTGTTAAGTGCCGTTAAGTAAGTTCCAACTCATAGCAACCCTGTATGGGGTTTCCGAGGAGCGGCTGGTGAGTTTGAACCTCTGACCTTGTGATCCAGTGCTTATCCTACAGCGCCACACCAGGACTCCAGTTTTCTATTGTTGTTGTTATATGCTGTGGGTCACAGCGACCCTGTTCAGGGTTTCCGATGCTGTGAATCTTTACCGGAGCGGAAAGCCTCACCTTTCTCCCACGGAACACCTGGTAGTTTCAAACAGCTGACCTTGAAGTTTGCAGCCCGATTCGTAACCACTACGCTACCAGCACTCCTTCGTTTTCTATTGTTGTTGTTGTTGTTGTTGTCAGGTGCCATCGAGTCGGAACCGACTCATAGCGACCCCATGCACAGCAGAACAAAACAATGTCTGATCCTGGGCCAACCTCACTACCTCTGCCACACTTGACTCCATCAATGATGCCACCTGGCTGATCCATCTCGTTGGGGGTCTTCCTCTTTTTCTCTGACCCTCCATCTTACCCAGCATGACATCCTTCTCTAGCGACTGTTCCCTCCTTACAATATGTCCGAAGTATGAGAGATGAAGCCTAGCCATCCTGGCCTCCAAGGAGCACTCTGATTGCACTTCTTCCAAAACAGATCTATTGGTTCTTTTGGCAGTCCATGGCACTTTCAGTATTCTCCTCCAACACCACAACTCAAAGGCATCAATTCTTCTACGATCTTCCTTATTCACTGTCCAGCTTTCGCATCCATATGAGGCTATTGAAAACACCATGGCCTGGGTCAGGCGCACCTTAGTCCTCAAGCTGACATCTCTGCTCTTCAATACTTTAAAAAGTTCCTGTGCAGCAGATTTGCCCAGTGCAATACGTCGTCTGATCTCTTGACTGTTACTTCCAAGAGTGTTGATAGTTGATCCAAGAAGAATGAAGTCCTTGACAACTTCAATCTTTTCTCCGTTGATAAGAATGTTGTTTATTGGTCCAGTGGTGAGGATTTTTGTTTTCCTGACACTGAGATGCAACCCATACCGAAGGCTGTGTTCTTTGATCTTCATCAGTAAATGTTTCAAGTCCTCTTCACTTTCAGCAAGCAAGGTTGTATCATCTGTTAATGAGTCTTCCTCCAATCCTGATGCCACGCTTTTCTTCATAGAACCCAGCTTCTCATATTATTTGCTCAGCATACAGGTTGAATAAGTATGGTGAAAGAACACAACCTTGTCACACACCTTTAATACTTCAGCCTTCCTTCTCTGACAGGTTTTTGCCTCATATAGGTCATGGCTTTCAAAGGGTTACCATATAATGATTTAGTACTTGAACTTTTTTGCCTCCCCATGGCCCCCACCACCCACTCAGAGCACCATTAGGCACTGCAGTGGAGCCTGAACCCCCAGTGCCCCCGCCAGCAGCCCGCAGCTGGACTCCTTGTCGCCCTATACGGGAGCCCTCAGTTGAACAGGAGGGAGATGGTAGGGAGAAGCTCATAAGAATTCATGAAGAAAAACTCCAAGGAGGCTCGGAAGGAATTGCTATCACTGCTTTGGGGTTCCCGGCACTTCTCCATCTCCCCAGTCTCTCTCTCCTCCTTCTCAAGGGGACTTCAGCCTGGACCCAAACAAAAACCACAAGGAACCAGAGATGGACTCAGAGAGGGAGAGGGTCTATGTGTTGATGGCCAGGGGGCAGGCTTGCGGGGTGTGCCCTTTGGTTGTTTGATGATGCATGTAGGGAATTGTAATTATTGCAATGAAACGAAATCAGATAGGATGAATGTAAAGCTAATGCTCTCCTATGTAAACTATCACATAATTCACAATAAAAACTTTTAAAACAACACAAGGAAAAAGGACCTTCCTGAATCAGAGAAGGTGGAGTTTGCAGAGGGCAGTGGTTTGTCCACAGAAGATCCAGGTCAGGGTTTAGCAGGGCTGATGGAAAGGGACTTTGACAAACACTGTCTCTGAAGGCAACTGTCAGACAGCTCTAGCCTTGAGTTCACCCTGGCCACCCCTGGGTGGACTTGAGGAGGGATCCCAGCCAGAATATCTGTCCCCCTGGAATGGTGACTTGGATAGGGACATTTGGATGTGTTTTCTCCATGGTCATCCTCCCTCACCTGAAGTCACCCTAGCAATTTGTGGGGGGGAGGACACCAACTCCTCAAAGATCACCTCTGCACAAGCTGGAGTCAGAGGGGCCCCCCAATCCTGACCTTCTTGGTGGGGGATGAGTCCTGGAACTTCTTGGGGGTGGTGGTGGTGTGAGTCCTTGAACTTTCTGCCCCATGAATTCTGTGTCAAGCACAGCTCCAGGGACTCAGGTGACGGCTTAAGCAATGCGAACCAAGTCAGGCTCTGCTAGCACCTGGCGCCCAATCTGCCGGCGGACACAAAAAAAGAAACGACTATGTAGTCACACGTGCCTGTAGCTGCTAAGTGCTACTAAAACATGTACTCAGGGGATGGGGGACTGAGAATGCTACCACAGACCCAATAGGGTGCGGGGACAGAGAACTCCAGGGATCTTCAAATCTTAAAGGGTTTCATCTGGGGTTCCCTCTATCCCTGGCACGGTCTCGCCCAAGTTGGTCTCCCCGCCCACTTCCACCGGGCGCATCTGCTCCTTCCTCCTAGGCGGTGCGCCCCCTCGGGGCCAGGGTAACCGTGGCGCGCGGCAGGAGGCGCTGGGACGCCGGTAGCACGCCAACCGGGGCGGGAGCGGGTGTCCCCAGGAGGGCGCTGACTCCGCCCCAACCCGCCCGCCTGCCTGCCCGTCTGCGCTCCGCAGACACACACAGCGCGCTGCCAGAGCGCTCGGCGGAGCCCATGGAGCCAGCGGGGCGAGGGCTCGAGGGCCGCGGCGGGGCCGAGCTGCTGCAGGGAGAACTAGAGGCGCTGGTCCAGGACGTGGTGAAAGCCAGCTCGTGGTGGGAGCGCCACGGTGTGGACTGCGCCATCCTGGCGCTCAGCCTCCTCGCCGTGCCGGCCGGTGAGGGCGCGGGGCCAGGGCGACCAGGGATCGGGCTGCGGGACTGCGGGCTTTGGGACGCTGGCTGTGCGAGCTTCGCCGCCGCGGCCAGTGGCGCCCAGAGTGGATGGGTGGGTGGGGCAACAGGGAGGGCAAAAGGTCACGCCCCAAGCCCGAAAGTCTGGATTTGGAGTGTCCTGCCCAGTGTTCCCTAAGAGCCAGCCTTGGAGGAGGAAGGACTGATGCGAGAAAAGCGGTGGAGGGGAAGTTGAGAGGGGTAGGGAAGGGATGGAAAGAGGTAGTCTGGGAAAGGGAGAGGCGGTGCCTTGTGGATAGCCAGGGACTGGGTAGGGGAGAATGAGGCGGGTTTCTGCTGAAATCTTTCTTGGTCCACACCCCATCATATCGGGCCCCATCCCTGTAACCAGCACAGGAAGGAAACCCCAACGGAGTCCAGAGTAACGAAAAGCTTCCTTGCTGAACCTGTGGGCTTTGCTTGGTCCCACATCCCTCGGGAAGAGCCAGTCCAACCCCTGAAGCCATAGTGGGAATGAACCCTATGGGGCACTTCTAATCTGTCTCACAAGGTTGCTAAGAGTTGGAATCCACTCCGTGGCAGCCGTTAGCGAGTTCCATGGTAGATCATTTTTTCTTTGGGTGTGGTTTTACTTGGCTAGGATGAGGAGATAAGCATTTGAAACTACTCAATATTTTCAGAAATGGCAACCTTCAACACTATTCATTATATTTATATTCATATTGCTGTTGTTGTGTGCCGTTCAGTCGGTTCCAACCCATACCAATCCTGTAAAACGTTTCTGAGGCTGTAAATCTTTATGGGAGCAAGAAAGCCTCATTTTCATCCTCAGAGCAACTGATAGATTTGAACCACCAACACTGTGGCGCTTTATCCTGTAGCGCCAACTCTCCATATTCATGTTGCTGGTGGTGGTTGTGTACCACTGATTTGGTTCTTATCATAGCAACTTGGCATAGGGTTTCCAAGGCTGTAAATCTTTACAAGAACAAAAAACCTCATCTTTCTCTGGTGGGATGACTGGTAGTTTCGAACTACTGACCTTGTGGTTAGCTCAGCTTGTAACCCACTGTCTACCAGCGCTACTTATATTCATATTAAGGGTTAACATGTTTTACTTGCTTCAGAAAAGATATTCTTACCACTGAGGATTGTAGTTTCAACTTCTTTCGAGCTTGAAGAGAAAAACAATACAAAGGTATAATTAAATCCCAAACATAACAAATTGTGCTTGCTCTAGGCTTTTTACAAAAACCTTAGTAGAATTGGTCTCAGTCTCCCTGGGGCAGTCCCAGGACAGGGTCCACTCAATTTGGGCTCAAAGAAGTAGGAGCTAAGATGCTCTTCCAAAGCTGGAAAATGACCGTATTTCTTTCTTTCTTCCCCCTCTGCCGGCAGGGTTCCTGTGTTTGCGCTTTGGGAATGTCCTGGTCTTTGCCCTGGGCATCAGCATCCTGGGTGTTTGCCACTACACGCTCACGGTCAAGGGCAGCCACCTGGCCACGCATGGGGCCCTCACTGAGTCTAAGCGCTGGAGCAAGATCTGGGAACTTTTCTTTGTGGAGGTGAGATGGGGAGCAGTTGCTGGGGGTGGGAGGCAAACCCCCGGGACTGTGTTCATGCAGGGCTGTATAGTTGTGCTCTGAGCAGCTGCAATACCCATGTGTGCAGTCAGTACGCCCATGTGTGTGCCCTTCCCGAGCATGGAGAGACTTGTTGCACCCATGAGGGCCATACTGCATGGTAGGTAGGGGGCTGGACCTGGGCACTAGCCTTTCTCCTGGAGACGCCCACTTACCACTTTGCAGCATGGGGCCAGGTGATGACCAGGGATGACTGTGTCTGGCAGGGCCTGGCCTGAAGCAATAACTGCTGGAGACTCTGGATGTTGCAATCCAGGTTTAAAATGTGAACCTTAGATGGGGGGCAGGGTGTGGTGAGGGAGCAGGGCCACTGATGGACGCTGTGTCCATGGTCTGGACTCTGCTCCTCTGATACCTGGAGATAGCCAAGCTACCCTGAGTGACTCCTGCCCTGGGAAGGCCATTTCTGCTCCCTGTCCTTGTCTCTCTACCCCTTCTACCTCAGCTTTCTCCCATGCAATCCCAGGAATGCTGTAGTTCTAGTCAGACTGGTCTCCAAGCCCGGCTTTCCTCTAATTTCCATCAGTGGGCCCTCACCTAGGCGCCAAAGTTCCTTTTGAATATGAAATCCAGTTCCAGAAAGTCCTTTCTGGCAGGCACTGTTGACCAGTGAACTCACACAAAACCATTTGCCGTGATTGTGACGGATGACAACGCCATGTGTGTCAGAGTAGCAGGATCTCCATAGGGGTTTCAATGGCTGGTTTTTCACAAGTACATCTCCAGGCCTTTCTTCCTAGGTATCTCTGGGTAGACTCAACCCATCAGTCTTGGTCGGCTACCAAGCACGTTAATCATTTGCACTACCTAGGCACTCCACTCCTCATGTAACAGAAGTCTTTTAGAAAGGTTAAAGAGTTTTCGAAAAAAAATTTTAAGAAAAATAATACCCCAGCAATTGGACAAGAAGAAATAAGCGTTTCTCACTACAACGCTTCCTCCTCCCAGCGGTTCTTTTCTCCCTCCCCTCCCAGCAGTTCACGTTTCTAAAGTGCTAAAGGCAAGCGGCAGAGTCCTGGTGTGCAGCTCCTGGTTAATGTGCCAGACTGCAAAGCCATTTGAACTGCAAGGTCGGCGATTCAAGCTCACTAGCTGCTCCTCGGAAACCCTATACAGGGTCTCTATGAGTCGAACAGACTCGACGGCACTTAATAACAACAAAGGCAAGGGGCAGGAAGCCATCTGTCCAGAAAGAAGAGTGTCAGTCTCAGAAATCTTAAGGAGCAGTTCGGCTCTGTCGTACAGGGTCGCTGTGAGTCGGAATTAACTCAGTAACAGTGGGTTGGGTGGGTTAAAGGCAAGAGGAACCAAGGAGTGACTGGTCCTCAGGGTCTGTTTCCAGATACTTCCCTTCCTAGCTCGTTGGTCCCAGCCAGACTCCAGACCTCCCTGGGCCCCCCAACAGGTTTGTGATGCATAGGGAGAGGCTGTGTCTGTCAGCATAGGGCAGGGTGCCACACTGTGACCCTGGGCCACCAGGGATAGGATTCACTCTGCTTGGATTAGTCAAAGCCTTACTGAGAGCTAGAAGTTTAGAGAGAGCTGAGGAAGCACAGGTGTCTGGGATTTTTCAACTGTTTGGACTAATTAATGCAATGATTTGATTGTGATTCTCAAACTTTCTTGGGTACCAGATTGTCCCCGAGGCCTAGGCTTGTTGAAATAGGCAAGGTCCGGGCCACTGTCATTTTATCAAGTTCCCCAGGTGAAACTTATGCCACTAAAGTTTGTGAACCTCTGGCCTGAGTAGCTCAGGAGCCATCCGCAATGGGGGGGGGGGTTCCTCGAGGACCTCAGCCTGTGAGTCCAGTGGGTCCCAGGCAGCCTCCTGGCTAGATCCCACCTGCTGCACACCTCCTGGTCCCGCTGAGCCCAGAGCAGAACTCAGCTTGGCCTGGCCTCGTCTCTTCATTGGGCTGAGCGCTTGGTCTGCCTCCATCAGTATTTGTGGATGACGATCCTGAAGATGAATTGAGGACAAGGTCCAGGGAAAATTGGCTGATGGGGTCGGGGGGTGGGGGTGGTTGCAGGGTCACATCCTAGAGGCCTGTGAGCTCCTCAGGTACCTGGGTTGGAAACGTAAAGCCTGGGAAGGGCAGGTCTGGCTCTCAGCCTCAGTGTTGTGACACCCAGCTGCAATTGACTGTAAGACCCGTCACAAGAGGTTTGTCACTCTCACGCTCATGGAACCAGTGTGGGAGGCCTTGTTTCTGCCCTGTGGGGTGTGGCTTTGCCTACCTTCTGCAGAGGATCCTGGCCCCATTGTTAGGGAAGGGATGGGTTGCCTCCCTCGTTCTACTGGCATCGATGGGTAGGGCACGTGAAGTCCTGGGGAGATGTTGGTCTTGGTGGGCAGGGCACAGTGCAAACCCTTGACAGCCTGATCTTGGTCAAGGACTTGCATCTAAATGTTAATTGCTTCATCTAAGAAATGGGATTAATAATATCACCTCCCTCATGAAACTGCTGTTACTGTTAGTTACCATGGAATCCGCTCCAACTCATGGCAACCCCATGTGTGCAGAGTTGTTGTTGTTAGGTGCCATCGAGTTGATTCTGACCCATAGTGACACTATGCACAACCGAACGAAACACCGCCAGGTCCTGCGCCATACTCACTCACAATGGCTGCTACACTTGAGCCCATTACTGCTGCCACTGTGCCAATCCATCTTGTTGGAGTCTCCTGTTTTTTCACTGACCTTCCAGTTTACCAAGCATGATGTCCCTCTTTAGGGACTGGTCCTTCTTGATAATATGTCTGAAGTACGAGAAACGAAGTCTTGCTATCTTGGCTTCTAAGGAGCACTCTGGTGGTACCTCTTCCAACACAGATCTGTTGGTTCTGTTGGCAGCCCATGGCACTTTCAATATTCTCCTCCAACACCATAACTCAAAAGCATCAATTCCTCTATGGTCTTCCTTATTCACTGTCCAGCTTTCGCATGCATATGAGGTTACTGAAAATACAATGGCTTGGGTCAGGCGCACCTTAGTCCTCAAACTGACATCTTTGTTCTTGAACACTTTAAAGAGGTCTTGTGCAACAGATACGCCTAATGTAATACGACGTCTGATTTCTTAACTGCTGCTTCTCTGAGTGTTGATGGTTGATCCAAAAAGAATGAAGTCCTTGACAACTTCAATCTTTTCTCTGTTGATAAGAATGTTGTTTATTGGTCCAGTGGTGAGGATTTTTGTTTTCTTTACATTGAGATGTAATCCATACCTAAGGCTGTGCTCTTTGAGCTTCATAAGTAAATGTTTCAAGTCCTCTTCACTCTCAGCAAGCAAGGCTGTATCATCTGCATATCACAGGTTGTTAACGAGTCTTCCTCCAATCCTGATGCCACGTTTTTCTTCATAGAACCCAGCTTCTCGGATTATTTGCTCAGCATACAGGTTGAATAAGTATGGTGAAAGAATGCAACCCTGTCGTATACCTTGCCTAATTTTAAGACTGTGACTTTAAGAACAGATCACTAAGCCTGCCTTCTGAGGTGTGTCTGTTTCTGGATGAGTTCGTGGTTGGGCACTTAGCATTTGTGCCACCCTGGGACACCCATGAAGCTAATGTGAGGGTTCAGTCGACAGTATGTTCTTAATGGAACGTCTTGTCCCGACTCTTGCATATTTCACAGTGTTCTGTTCATTTTTTTGTCTTCATGGAACATGCTCTGGGTTCCAGGAAAATGGTTGGCAGTGGTGGGTCTCTGGTTGTTATTAATGGTTTGTTTTTGTTAACTGAAAGGTGGGTATAGCTATGCAAAGTCTGTTGTATGTGTGTAGTGTTGGGGCATGGAGGTGCTGTGACCTTGGCCCACCCACTATGTTCTCTGCATCACATAAAAGTCCAGCTCGCTGCCTGGGTCCTCAGAGGATGCCCTGGGTCCCTTCCTGGACCCTTGACTCACCCCTTCTCAACTCACGTGACTCCTTCTCTTGTTGGGTTCCCTATTCTTCCTTCATCCTAGTGCCTCATCACAGAATAGCCTAGTCTTCACCCCCAGGTTCCCTTTGGCATCTGGCCTATTCTGCAACCTCAGGCATCTGATTTTCCTGGGTACTTAGCTTTTGCCAGGTTTGTCTCAGGCCTTCCAGCCAGGACCTCACATCTCTGGAGGGAAAGAGAGGAAGATGGAGAGGGAGGCTTCCAATTCTGATTGTTGTTGTTTCTCCTCTAAAGTATCCAAAATTACATACACCTCCCCTCCCAAGGATTAATGCTCCTCTAGAGTCTCATTTTAAAAATTTTAACAATTTATGTTATTTTATGGTTGAAAAGATATTCAGCAAAAATGCACCAATTCAATCATTTCTACATGTACAATTCTTGTCACTGACTGCATTCATCAGTGCGTAGAGCCAATCTCTTCCTCCTTTTCCAAATGACTGTTCCACCGTTAACACACACTCACTGACCCCCTCCCCCAGGCTCCTAGCAAACATTTCGTGTTGCTATTGTCAATTTGTGAAGACCCATTTCTGATTGTCAAGAGGAAGTTCCATTCCTCCTAGTGGCATAACTCTGGCCTGACATTTTGAGAGCACCTGTTTTCCCAACTTCCGGTCCTGGGTTATGTTGTTACGACTCCTGGTCCCACACTCAGAGGGCCTCCCTGTAAACCAGGAGTAAAAGGGCAGGGGCGGGGGGATGGCCACCAAGGCTTAAGTACACACCCTGCTCACTTATTGACACAGTTAAGTGCCAAAGACCAGGTTGTTATGTAAAAGTTGCACTATGTGACAATGGAGGATGACCACATCGGATCACAAAATGCAGAAGGACTTTGTCATTATATAAAACACTGAGCATCATGATCCAGCCAGGTTAGCACACAACCCTGGCATCACACCTCGGCATTCATTACCGCCAAACGTACATTGTTGATGCGCAAAACAGTCAGATAGGAGATATTTTACTATGGTTGCAAATGCAAAATGTTGGATAATGAGATGGTCGATAAGTGAGGAATAGTTGTATTGAACTTGGGAAGGATCGAATTCTGAGATCAAAGGGTGTTTGGGCTCTCCCTGCCTGGCATTCTCAAACAGGGTGCTCCTGGAATGGGAGGGAACACCCGTGGTGGTTGCTCTGTACCGTGTCTCAGCCCAGATCCCCCTCCTTGAGCCTGCTTTATATTGTGAGGACGATGGAGTCACAATTGGTTCTTGAGGAATCAACACCCACCTGGTTCTGCCCTAGCAGGGTGGGTATCACCTCCATCGGGGCCCCATGTGGTGGTAGAAACAGAGTCCAGCACCCCCAGTCTCATCAGGATCTTTTACCATTCTCCTCCCAGGAGCCTTGGAGCCATTTCTCTGACGTCCTCTTTGTATATCTCACCCAAACCCCATAGGGTGCTGTTCTGAGTCAGTTCAATGATAAGTCTTCATTTTTAATGCTGAAAATTTATGTAGGGGGAAAACGCAGATTTGAAGTATAAAATATACTTTTGTAAAATGAAAAAACTTTTTAATATTTGAAATAATTATAGGACATTGTAAAAAAATAATACCAAGAAGTTCCATACATACACCCTGCATCTAGTTTCCCTCAACGGTTACACTGCCATCACCAGAATGGGGTAGCAAAACCAGGAAGATGGCATTGGTGTCACATGTTTGTACAGTTCTATGCCATGTACTCACATATGTGTTGCTGCAAGGTGTTGCCTCGTAGGCTCCGACTCGTAGCGACCCTGTGCACAACAGAACGAAGCACTGCCTGGTCCTGGGCCATCCTCACAACTGCTGTTATACTTGAGCCCATTGCTGCTGCCACTGTGCCAATTCATCTTGTAGGGGGTCTTCCTCCTTTTCACTCACCCTCTACTTTACTCAGCATAATGTCTTTCTCCAGGGACTGGTCCCTCCTGATAATATGTCCAACCATGAGAGATGAAGTCTGGCCATCCTGGTTTCTAAGGAGCATTCTAGCTGTACTTCTTCCAACACAGATATGTTTATTCTTCTGGTGGTCCATGGTACTTTTAATCACATATGTAGATTGGTAAAATGTACTTCAAGAAGTCTCTGTCCCTATCTTTTGGGTGATCTCCCCCAAGGACCAGCCTGAGGACTCCGGGAGGGACCTCATACAACTCTCACTTCTGTGGGTCTTTTCATGGCTGACTCCTGGTAGACTTGCAGACCACCCCTCAGAGTCTGTGGGTGAGCCTCAGAGCCCTGAATTGGATGAGTGTAGGCTGAGGGAGGCGTTTGATTCCGATGGAAAAGTAGGGTTGTTATGAGCTGAACAGTGTGAGACCTCTGTGGGAGAGAAGACTTGGGGGGTGGCCTGGGTGGATGGGAGTTTTGGGAGCCCAGGTAGTGGGGGTCCAAGTGAGTGAATGATGGCCAGTCCTCAACAGTATCGCACATCTACCCCATGCTAAGCCCTCGACTAGATACTGGGGACATACCAGTAACTCTTGGGTTCCATTTCCCAAAGGGCTCAGAGTCAAGTGGGGAAACACACATACACACACATGACATCAAAATAATTTTAAAAATATCATAATTACACTAGTTCAGTCGCTGGAAAAGGATATCATGTTTGGTAAGGTGGAGGGTCAGAGAAAAAGAGGAAGACCCCCAACAGTAATGAGGTTGGCCCAGGATCGGGCAGTGTTTTGTTCTGCTGTGCATAAGGTCGCTATGAGTCGGTACCGACTTGATGGCACCTAACAACAATTGTGTACTTATATGTGCAGTATCTCATTTAAGAACCACGGCCTCCCTATGAAGTCAGCAGTGTTATTTAGCCCCATTTTATAGACGGGGCTACACTGATGTGAAGGAGCTCTGGTAGCGTAGTGGTTATGAATCAGGCTGCGAACCTTAAGTCAGCAGTTTGAAACTACCAGCTGTTCTGCAGGAGAAAGATGAGGCATTCTGCTCTTGTAAAGATTTACAACCTCAAAAACCCTGTACAGGGTCACTATGAGTCGGAACCGACTCCACGGCACATAACCACCACAGCCACCACACTGTGGTGTCTTTTACTCCCTTGCCAGGGCCACACAGCTGGCCCAAGAATTCAAACCCAGGCAATTTAGGACTAGGACAGACCAAGTGTGACCAGATGGCTGGCTCAACATGCAGTGGACACATAGGTGTGGGGAGAACTTGGTGGGGACTTTACTTTGGGCGGGGTCTGGAGATGTTTTTGGTTGCCACAACTGGGGAAGGAGGAGGTCCTCCTGGCATCTAGTGGACAGAGGCCAAGGCTGCTGCCCTCACCACAGAGAAAAGTCATATGCAGGAAGGTGATTTCAGACAAAACAGATAGATGGACAAATGGCTTGGAGCTGGGGAAACAGCCCAATGTACGTAGAACCCAGAAGAAACCTGAGACAGCTGTACCTCTCCTGAGGACCCTGGAGAAAGAGAGGTAGGGCAGACCTGTGAGCCAAGCAGAGGAGTTGAGCCTTTGTCCTGTGGCCAAAGGCCATTGCCTAAGTTGGTAGTTTAAAAGATAATGGATGCTTTGAATCGCTAACATACAATTATATGCAACATATCCACAGTGATGGTTCTTCTCCTGACCCCCACTCTTACGTGTTCTCTAATAGTTCGCTCTTTGATTTTGAGTTTTAAGCAAACAGTGCTTTGCAGGCAGGGACAGAGTCAAAGTTGAGACCAGCTAAGAGCTGATGAGGACAAGAACCTGCAAGAACCCAGGCAGGAGAGGAGACAGGTGTGTAGAGTCTGGGGGAAGGATGAGGTGTGGGCGGAGTTAAGGGCATCCTCAGTGCTAGGACACAGGACAGTCCCAACAGAGCCCAGCTGCAGCCCCCTTGGGCCTGTTGCCAAGGCTGCTGGTGTTCATGTGAACCAACCTAGTGGTCTTGGCACCCTGGGTCTAATGGGCACATGCTCAGGAGTGGCAGATCCTCCTCAGGCTGGCGAGCGCTGGGAGCCATGTCACATAAGCAACACCCCCTCTGCCAGGTTACAAAGGCAAAGAGCATCACACACTCGGAGAGCCAAGGGCCTGTCCCTGTATTTGTGGACTACACAGAAAGGCTGTTACTAGATTAGCGTTTGCCTGCACACTCCTGGCCTCCAGAGGGACCTGGACACTCTAGTTTGTTCAGCATAGTGTCCCAGGTCCATTTCACAACTGCATTTGTAGGGCTCCAGGCATCCTCTCCATAGAGCTGTTGGCGACATTTCTGCTTGGACTAGGTTCCAAGAGAGCATGTCTCTGCAGGCAGATGGTGAAAACAATGACCTCTTTGTCTTCATCTAGTTTTGATTCTGCTGCCCCCCAGCCTGGGTTTATGCTCCACGGTAGCCAGTGCTTCAACTCAGCACCTTATGGATGGAATGTAGGCCTTGGGTTTAAATCCTGACCTTGTCCCTTACTAACTTTGTGGCTTAGGATGGTCACATGGTCTTGCCTTAATGCACTTTCCTCTTCTGTAAACTTTGAAGAATTCCCTTGGCCCCCTAAACAAGGCCCCATTGCCTCCAGTCAATTCCATCTCATGGCAGCCTCATGAGTTGATTCCATAGGGACACAGGTTGCCAGGTCTTTCTTCCATGGTACTCCTGGGTAAATTCTAACCACCAACTTTTAGGCTAGTTGTTGTAGTTAAGTGTTGTTGAGTTGATTCCGACCCATAGCGACCCTGTATAGGGATTCCAAGGAGCATCTGGTGAACTTGAACCACCAACCTTGTAGTTCAACCGACTTTGCAGTCTGACACATTAGCCCATGGCGCTACACCAGGACTCCTAGTAGACAAGTGCAAGCCGTTTATACCCCCCAGGGGCCTTCAGTGACCCCTGAGGTCTGGGGGACCTCTGTATAAGGCACAGCTCTGAGCCTGGTAGAATTCGGGCCCAAAGAGCGCTGGTGTCCTGGAGACTTCATAGTGTCCAGCTTTGGGAAACCCTTCCCTTCCTCCTGGAAAGAGACAAGCAGTATCATCAATCAAATTTAAAAAAAAGTCACCTGGCCTGGATAAAATACTGGAAGAGTTTTACAGCTGCGTGCTCATTTACAGTCATCTGCATAAGAAACACCTCAGCACCTCTTTTGCATTCCAAATGTCTGCTCTCCTCCAATCAGACAGTTCTGCTGAAGCTCACAGTTCCCTTGCCCAAGAAGCTCCCACGTGACTCCCCACCCCCGGTGCTGTCCTTTGCCAACTGGCAGGAGCTGGCCTCTCTTGGTCCCCAGTCCACTCTCTACCCCTCACCCTGGCTGCTGTGGGCTCAGAACGCAAAGTGGAGCTGTGAAGATGTTTCCAAGATAGATGCACACAAAATTATTGCAACCAAATCGTAGCAGCTCTACCTGCAGTGCATCTCACCCTGTTACAGCCCTCTGAGGCTCCGTCAAATGGCCTCGGTGGTGGTCAGGGATAGAATGCAAACTAGGGTCATGTGGCCTCCTTCCCACAAAGGCTACTGCTCTGTGGTCACAGTGCTTGAGAGGCTATGGCCAAGGCTGATTCCCTGGGGTTGTAGGACCGGGACACTGGAAACGCTGAGTAGTCTGAGAAGGCTGGAGGGGACCTTGAGCCTCCCTCAGATCCTGCTTTGCTCAGCTGTGTCTGACCTGTATCCTGCCCTGTTTTCTTGTCTCCTCCTGCCAGGTCTGCACGGCCTTCACTGCAGAGCACGCCAAGTATGGCCACGTCAAGATGCACCATGGCTACACCAATGTCATCGGCCTGGGCGACTCCAGTACGTGGAGGCTGCCCTTCCTCAACCGCTATGTCTACATGTTCCTTGCTCCTTTCTTGATCCCCATCATTACCCCACTGGTGGCTCTTGGTGAGTACTGTCCAGACCGGCTCACCCCTTCCCTCCTGGCTTTCCGGAGTCCCAAGTTCAGATTAGACAGGGACTCTCCAAGGCAACGGGATGAGGTGGAATGAGCCTCGGATTCTCTGCCAAGTCTGCCTTGGCCACTCACTGGCTGGTGACCTCCGGCAGGTATTGTAACCTCTCTGAGCCTCAGGTTCCTTACCTGCTCTCTTGGTGGTGCAGAAGTACAAATGAAATCATAGATGCAAAAGTGCTCACGAAATGCCTCACCGTCTATCATAGGGACAGTAGTGTAGTGTGGAGGGAGCGGGGCTGTGGGACAGCCACAGGTTCAAATCCTAGCCCCCACATACTATCAGTGCCACGTTGCTTAGTGTCCCGTTAGCTATAAAATGGGTTAAACTGCTTTTCAGCATTTTCATGTGGATTCATCGGATGTACCTAGGCCACCAGTTGGCCCGTTCATGGTGGTTGAAAACCTCCTGCCCCTCTCATTATAGTTATTTTTTCTTTTTAAATTATTGTGATAAATATATATGTAACAAAAGATGGCCATTTAAACCATTCTTTGGTGTACAATTCATTGGCATTAACTACATGCGCTACTATATATCTGCTTCCAAGACTTCCCATCCCCCAAACAGAAACCCAGCAATCAGTCCTTCAACAGTAATGCCTGTCTCCTCCCTGGCTTCCCTGCCCTTCTGCAGAGAGGCTGAGAGAGGTGGCGTTCTGGACGGCTTTACGGACGCTGAGCCTAATCTCCCTGGGCCTTTATTCTCACTACTGGATGCTCCTCAATGTGTCGGGCTTTAGGAGCCCTGGCTCGGCCCTGGCCTGCATGTTTGTTACCAGATCCCTGCTGGCTCACCCTTACCTTCATGTCAATATCTTCCAGGTGAGGTCTCCTAACTGTGTGGGGTGGGGTGGAGGTGAGAGGGATGGGAACCAGCAGGGCAAGGGGAGCACTCTCCAGGGTGCTGAATTGAATAGTATATATACACACACACACACATATACACCTTTCCCTCTGTGGGCCAGCATGGAGAACTTTGGCCATTGAAAACTCTGTGTCAGAACACAGTTCTACTCTGACATATATGGGGGCACCCATGAGTCAGAGTCGACACCATGGCAACTGGTTTAGACATCACATTGCCGTTGTTGTGTGCTCTTGAGTCAATTCCAACTCACAGTGACGGTACAAGACAGAGCAGAACTGTCGCATACAGTTACCAAGGCCATCAATCTTTATGGAAGCAGACTGCCACATCTTTCTCCCTTGGTGCAGCTGGTGGGTTCAAACCATCAACCTTTGGTTAGCAGCCTGATGCTTAACCACTGTGTCACCAAGGTTCCTTCAGCTACCTCATGGAAGTGGAATTATACGAACAATAGCTCTCCTTTTGTGTCTGGCTTATTTTACTCAGCATAATATTTTCAGGGTGATGAGTAGGATTTGGGTGGGTGAAAAGGGTCCCTCCAGAGTGAGGCAAAAGCACAGTGACTTGAGCGAGGGTGCTGGAGAGCCATGAACACTAGAGCACCCCAAGAGCAGAGGGGTGCCTGGGCCAGGCCTAGAGAGGTGTACAGACAGGAGTGGCACTAGAATGGGTCACGATCCCAGCCTCACAGACCTCTGCTACATGCTGCCATGTGTGGGTTGATGGGTGGCTGAGTGCTAGGTAAGGACCCTGGGACAGGACTGGGGCCTGGTGGTGGCAGGGCTGCCAGGTCCAGCTCCAGGATGTGCCCACGTGTCTCGTAGCACATTGGGCTGCCCATGTTCTCCCGGGATAAGAAACCCCAACGGGTTCACATGATGAGCCTCGGCGTGCTGAACCTGCCCCGGTTGCCCGTGCTGGACTGGGCGTTCGGCCACTCAATCATCAGCTGCCACGTGGAACACCACATCTTCCCCAGGCTCTCGGATAACATGTGTCTGAAGGTACAGGAGGGACTGCCTGTAAGGGTTGCGATGAGGGGAATTGTCTGAAGACAGGGGACTAACCTCTAGGGTACACCTGAACTCTGAGTCCCTCCACTGGTGTGGTCAGGGTGCCCTTAGGAAGGGCCTCCGATCAGAAGTACCTAGATTAGCAGTGCAGCTCTGGACCAGTTAACTTTTCTGAGACTCAGCTTCCTCATCTGTAAAATGGGTATGAACAGTGCTCCTTGGGAAAGTTTTGGGAATGATCTGAAGAAATGTATCTAGAATGTAGTAAAGGAGTTATGGCCTAGATGGGCTGTTTTGTAGTCTGGGCGTCCTGAGGGGGTGGGTGTTGGGGAAAGGCGGGAGGCTGGAACCCTGGAAGCCCTCAGCGCCAAGCCTCCAGCTGAGTATCATGGAACTGGGACAATTTGAGCAGGGTCCCAGAAGAGGAGGGGTCCCGGGAGCATGGGTCCACTCAGCGGACTTTCCTGTCCCTCTTTGGTCAGGTGAAACCTGTGGTATCGCGTTTCCTCCAAGAGAAGCAGCTGCCATACAATGAGGACTCGTACCTGGCTCGCTTCCGGCTGTTTCTGAGTCGCTATGAGGAGTTCATGGTGCAAGCTCCACCGATCACTGAGATTGTGGGGCTGCAATGAGGGTGGAGCAGGTGGGGTCACCCCTGCCCCCAATCCCTCTCCCCGTCCCTGGCCCTACCCTGGCTCTCCTACTTTTGCTGGGCTTCACCTGGAGGGCGGAGACATCAAGTGGACCATGAGGCAGGGACACTCCAGGACACATATCTGGGGGCCTGGGGGTCACCTGTCCTGCTTGCTTTTCTTGGGGAAGGAATAAAGGGGACTGGGCATTCTAGTCAGACTGGACCTCAGCCAACTTCACCTCAGGACTAAAGTGCTGATTCTATGCCCATTGCTCTCTAGCTGAGGGTGGGGTGGGTGGGTGAGGAGAGACCCCATGCAAGTGACAGTCAGAGAAGGGAGGGGACACAGAGAGGCAGGTCAGCCCCTGGTCTAAGGCTCCTAGGGCGAGGAGAGCCCCGTGTGTGGTTGGCTCTTCCTCTCCCTCTTCCTTGGAGGCTCTGTCTCCCAAGAAGCCCTCTCTTCAGAGGCCACAGGGACAGGCCACCTTTGGCAGACCTTCCTAGCATCTCAGAGAGCCTGGGAAGATAGTGGGGCCCACACTGACACACAAGTGCGGTGGGCAGGGGTGGTCCACAGCAGAAGGGAGGAGCCTGGGAGTGAGGTAATAGTCTGATTGAACTACTTACTAGAGGGGAGGCCAAGAGACAGGAACACCGCTCAGATTCAGCCCAGAGTGGGCTGACTTAAGAGCAGGTTGGAAGGTCACACTGAGGGGGTGCAAGGACGGGAGGGCCGAGAAGAGGCCAGAGCCACTCCCTTAATACAGTTTCTTGCGTCTACACTATTAATATCCTGGACTGGATTCTTCTTTGCCATTGAGGAATTGTGCTGTGCATTGTAGGATGATGTTTCCCGGCATGCCTGACCTCTACTTACTAGATGCCAGAACAGAAGCTGAAGTCCTGATCATCAAAAATGCCCTCAGACATTGCCAACTGTCCCTGGGTCAGGAGCTGGCGGGAGGACAAAGTCACTCCCAATTGAGAACCATCGTTTTAAAACATGGAAGTCATGTTCTGAGCATTAAAGTGTCTTGTTTTTCAGTTAAGTCTTTGGATGGGGTGAAGGGGTGTGAAGACCACAGGATGGGTCAGGCGAAGGGACACTCCAAGTTCAGTCCTGTTTGAGAACCCATCTCCAGCATGGCCTTAGGTGGCTCTGCTGGGAACACGCCATCTACTCCTCCCCCCACCCACATTGCCTCCCCACTCGCTCCACCCTGCCTCCCTCTCTTACAGCAAGTGTTCCTCCTCCTTTTGCTTTGGAGCCAGAGTGATCAGGGCTTCTAGCAGTTGCTAGCCTGAGTGAGGGTGCTTCACCATTCCGTACTGCTTTCCCTTGACCCTGCTCACCCTTCGGTAAAAAGTCCTCTTATTAAACTCTCTTCAGTCGCCCCCTTTGAGCAAACCATCTGTTTCCTGCAAGGAGATGAGCAGCTGGAGATGAGTTTCGGATCCAAGCAGCCCTGTCGGAATAGGAGAGCCTGGCAGCCTTTTGCTTTGCTCTATGTTCGTGCTACTCTTTTAAGACGTATTAACAGCTCAGAAATGGCCTTTAGGTCTGGGAGAGCAATTCATCAAACTGCTAATTCTCCAGATGAAAAATGCACTGTTAGGAAAGGCCACAGTTGCACGGTCCTGGCTATGATTAATCTCACCCTAATATATATCCGATGACTCATTGTTATTGATCTGGGCCTGATGGGGAGTAGGCAGCAGCGGGAGGCCCTGGTACCAGACGTGGCTGAACCACAGGCACCTAGGAACAAGTCATTTGATTGCTTTGAGACTTGATTTTCTGTTACATGGAGGATGGGGTCTAGGAATGCATAGGACTTCAGAGATTAGGGAAAGAAACAAGAGTTCTTAGGGTCTTTCTAGGACTCTGGTTAAGTGCCTTTGTTAAGTATTGTTGGGCTCAAATCACTGCCCTGTGGTTCACAGCCCATTGTTTATCCTACAGAGCCAGGACATAGTAAAACTGTCTGATAAGGTTCCCAAGGCCGCAAATCTTAATGGAAGAAGATTGCTTCATTTTTCTCCTTTAATTTATGGAGGCAAATGGAAGATGAAAATAGTGATGATGATGTTAAGTTGTTGTTAAGTATTGTTGAGTCGGTTCTGACTCATAGCAACTCTGTAGAGGGTTTCCGAGGTGAGTTTGAACCACCAACGTGACCTTGTGGTCCAGTGCTTTATCCCACAATGCCCATCGGGACGAGCTAACATTTACTCAGCGCTCATTTTGATCTTCTGTCATCTCCTTTTTTATCTCTACAAGTTGGTACTGTTTTTTCTCTTGTGTTGCGTAAGGGTTAGATTCGATTTCTTAAGATCACAGAGGTAGAAAGTGATGGAGGAAGGATTCCAACCTAGTGTGGCTATTTCCAAAATCTATGTTTTCAACTAGTAGACATTCCCTCTAGATGGGGAGCCCAGCAGGGTTTTCTGGAGTGTCTGATCCAGAATCTCCATGGCTTCCTCCCATCTGAAAGGTCAGTCAGTGACTAGATCATTAAAACAAGCTTTTTCTTGGGCATCCATGACTGTGCGAAGTTCTGGGGACCAAGAGGGAATGAGATTAGGCTCTCATCCTCATGGAACTAAGAATCTAGGGGTTGACAAACCTTTTCTGTAAGGCACCAGAGAGTAACTATTTTGGGCTTTATGAACCATATGGTCTCTTCACAACTACTCAATTTTGACATCATAGTGTGGAACAAAAGCCACGGCAATATACATATCAATAAATGCACATGACTGGATTCCAATAAAACTTTATTTATAAACTAAAGTTTGACTTTCTTGTATATTTCATGTGTCGCTAAATATTATTTTAGTGTAACTTAAAAAACTTAAAATCACTCTTAGCTCACAGGCAGTTCAAAAGCAAATGAGAAAGATTTGAGATGCTGGCACTAGTTTGCCTAGTGGGGCAGGAATAAAGCACTGGTTTACACTTTAGGATCTGTGCACTGGTCTGTATGTGATTGTTGTTGGTAAGTGCTGTCAAGTCAGTTCCGACCCATAGTAACCCTGTATAGGGTTTCTGAGGAGCGGCTGGTGAGCTTGAACTGCCGACCTTGGCGTTCAGACCGACCTGGCAGTCCAGCGCCTTAACCCACAGCGCCACATCAGGACTCTGTATGCTACACTTCAATTAAAAAAAAAAAAAGATGGCAAGTAATGGTGAGGTAAGATAGGGGTGCTGTAGGGACAAGAGAGACTCCTAGCTCAGAGGAAAGGGGTGCAAGAAGGCTTCTCCAAGGAATACATGTTTTTTTTTTTTTACTTTACATAACAAGTTTATTTTTTAAAAAGGCAATAAACCAATAACAAAGTAAACATTAACCAGATCTTAACTTTTGCCAAGTATCATCTGTCCTAGAGTTGTTCCATTAAGTTCCAGTCAAAACGTTTTTAATTCAGTAATCATCATCTTCATCAGAGTCTATTACTTTTCTTCTGTTGAATTTAACTGTTTCCTTTTCTGTTTGTTGGCTTACTTTTTCAAGGATTTCTATTAAACCTTGTTCTGATACCTTCCCACTTAGTTGTCCAAATCTTGCCATCTGTATAAGGTAATTCTCTACCATTTTACTTTTCTCAGGCTTTACAAGTGCTAAATTACTTAACATGGCCCGGGCTGACTGATCCAGAACTTGAGCTAAGATACTGTTTCTCATTTCTGCTTCTCTATGTTTCGCTTCCTGTAGTGCTACAACGCCGGGCTCCTGGTGCTTGGCCTGCAGATCCGCCAGCCTCTCTGCTTTCTCAGTGCCTCCAGCCCTTTGTCTGCCATGGCAGTCTAAGGAATAAATGTTTGACAAGAGGGCGTTTGAGGAAAAAGAAGAGGCATTAGGCTTATCTGGGTTGGACATAACCATAGATCTGACCTTTTACATGTGACATTTTGAAGTGAGTATCTAGTGTCACCCTAGAGCTGGCCCTGCAGACCACAGGTCCAGAGGGTCTGGATCTGTTTTCAGTGCCGTGGGCAAGCCATCTCCCCACTCTGTTTCCTCACTCTGGTAACAGTGCATTACGAGCAATGTCAGCAGTTCGAATCTACCAGTCGCTCCGCGGGAGATAAATTTACAGCCTCAGAAACCCTAGACAGGGTCGCTATGAGTCAGAACCGACTCAGCGGTACACAACCACCACCACAATGGAAAGGTCCAAGTGTGACTATTCCCCCTGGTCCGAACTGGGAGGATCCTTGCTGGATAAAAGGCGAGGAGCAGAGCACAGATACCCCCTCTTCCCAAACAGACTACTGGACTCGCGTTATTTCCGGAAACGGACTCGCGATTGGCTAGGACGAAACCCGAACCCGGCTGCAAGATAGGTCATCAAAACAGGCGCGCATTGCGTCATCAGTGAGCGACGAGAGCGTCCCCATTGGGGAGAGAATGAGTAAAACAAGCCGTTTTCTAATTGGTTCCCTCCGTTGGAGGGAGGAAGACGATTGGACAGGAATTTATTAAGTCACCGCGGCCCGGAAGTTTTGGGGGGCGGGCTTCTTGCATGGTAGGAGGTGGATCCGAGGGCGGGTTTCTCCTTTGGAGGCGGGATTCATTCGAGAGAAACCGAAGCTCCGTGCTTCCCCAGCGCATGGGAGGCGGGATTTTGGGCGGGGCCGAGCGGGTGGGCGGGGATGGGGCGGGGGCGGGGCCGGAGTTGGCTTGGAGCGCGCGCCGCGGGGCGGTCCAGGAATCAGATCCACTTGCTGGTTGCTTGCTGTTCCCAGCATGGCTCTCCGCTGCTGGTGGCACTGGCCGGCGTGGCTTCGGACCCGATCGCCTCTCTCCGGGAGCCACCTGAGTATGACCAGGGCACCTCTAGGGTGGATGGAAGCGCGGGATTGCCTGCGAACGCTAAGCGGGCAGGGCAGAGAGGGGGGTCAGGGACGAGACTGGTGGGGTCTATTGAGGGAGAAATGGGGGAGGTGTGCGGGATCGGGTGAGGGGGCCTGTGCGGTGACGAGTGAGGCCTCTAGGTAACAAGACGACCGTGAAGTCCTCAGGTGGTAGAAAGGGGTGCACAGTGAACGCGCATGATAGTCTGTCTGAGGGACAAAGGGAAGTCTATAGGCAAGATAGGGTTCTGTGTTAGGTAAGATGGGCAATGTGGAGAAGCCCACAGGGTAAAGTTGGGATGAATAGGAGTCCACTTGGAAAATGTGAATTTCTAGCTGAGTACGGGGTGGTGTTCTGTGCCTTTGACTTGATTTCAACTCTAGTGACCCTATAGGACAGTAGAACAGCCCCATAGGGTTTCCAAGATTATGGAAGCAGACTGCTGCATCTTTCTCCCATAGGGCAGATGGGTTTGAACCACAGACCTTTTGGTTAGCAGTCAAGCATGTTAACCACTGAGCAACCAGGGCTCCTTCACTGAGTTGTTGTTGCTGTTAGTACCGACTATCGAGTTGGTACCGACTCACAGTGACCTTATGCACAGCAGAACAAAACACTGCCTGATCCTGGGCCAACCTCACTACTGTTGCAACGCTTGAGTCCATTGATGCTGCCGCTTGGCCAATCCATCTCATTGGGGGTCTTCCTCCGTTTCTCTGACCCTCCACCTTACCAAACATGATATCCTTCTCCAGTGACTGGTCCCTCCTGACAATATATGTGCAAAGTATGAGAGACAAAGTTTGGCCATCTTGGCCTCCAAGGAGCACTCTGGCTGCACTTCTTCCAACATGGATCTATTGGTTCTTTTGGCAGCCCATGGCACTTTCAATATTCTCCTCCAACACCATAACTCAAATGCGTCAATTCTTCTATGGTCTTCCTTAT